GGGCAGAGACATGAAATCATCGTTATAAAAAAGGCAAATTTACTGGAGTTAAATCTCATTCCCTCCAATTTTTGTCTTAACCCTCCCCCCAAATCCCTCGCAGTCGCGCACACTTTCTCCAAACCAGAAAACGCCGATTGGAATCTCTCTCTTTATCCGCAGAGTGAGGTGAGCGGAATCTGAAACTCGAAAAAAAAAGAAAAAAAAAATGGAAAAAGACGATGATGAGATGAGGGGCGAAATAGAGGAGCGACTGGTGAACGAGGAGTACAAGATTTGGAAGAAGAACACCCCTTTTCTGTACGATCTGGTTGTCACCCACGCGCTCGAGTGGCCGTCGCTTACCGTCGAGTGGCTGCCCGACCGCGAGGAGCCGCCAGGCAAGGAGTGCTCGGTCCAGAAGATGATTCTCGGGACCCACACGTCGGAGAACGAGCCCAATTACCTGATGCTCGCCCAGGTTCAGCTGCCCCTTGTCGACGCTGAGAGTGATGGGCGCCAGTACGATGACAACAGCTCTCAGTACGGTGGATTTGGTTCCGCCAGTGGAAAGGTAGCATTTTTTTTTTTTTCTCTCTCTTTTTTTTTTCTTTTTCATTTTTTTGAAATTGATGTTCTTGGCATTTACATTCGGTTTTCAAATTGATGATTATATCTGTTTATTTAGAGAAAACATTGTGGGCTGGGGGATTTGGGAAATTCGCTGGGCTTAGGGTTTGCCTGGGGACTTGGAGTTCTGTAATGAAATGAGATGAGAGATTGCCCTGTTTCATTTTCAATAGATGGTGGGTTCTTGATTAGAAAAGTCTGACTTAAAGCCCCAGTTATAAACTCAAAACCGAAAGTTGTCGTGGGATGGCTTTTGTAGTCCTCCTTACCTGGGGCACTCATTTTTTTAGTTACATTTATATACATTTGATGTGAAAACTCATACTTGTTAAATCAATTTAAACTATGTGGATTATTGTTTTGAAATGTATAATTCTTCATCATAAAAGTATGAGCTTTGTGCTCAAAAAAGTTTGAATTGCCCCCAAAAATGTATTTGAGACCGTCACAATGTGGACTTATAAAATCCAAAAATGAGATCGGCCGTACATAGTTGCTTGCTTGCAAGTAAAATTGGGAACTTGTTCCCTTTTGGTAATTGAATTATGGAGCAGGAATTATAAATCTGCCTTTTGTTTTCCCTTTTAGATCCTATATTTCATTTGCATGACAGTAAGTGTATTTCTTATTGTCTCGAATGCTTTCCAGGTTCCACTATTGGACATAATTTTTCCTTTCGTAGTTGTGTAAGAGGTGTATTTTGCTGCAGGTGCAAATTATCCAGCAAATAAATCATGATGGGGAGGTCAATAGGGCACGTTACATGCCTCAAAACCAGTTCATAATTGCCACAAAGACAGTCAGTTCTGAAGTTTACGTTTTCGATTACAGCAAACACCCGTCTAAGCCTCCTCTGGACGGTGCATGTAATCCTGATCTGAGACTAAGGGGTCACAATTCTGAAGGGTATGGTTTGTCTTGGAGTCACTTCAAGCAGGGCCATTTGTTGAGTGGCTCCGATGATGCCCAAATATGCTTGTGGGACGTAAATGCAACTCCAAAAAATAAGTCTCTAGATGCCATGCACATATTTAAGGTCCGTTACACGAAAATCAAGCTTGTTAGCTTTACACACAGCACACACAACACTGCAATTAGCTCCATTAGGAAATTTATCTTTGAAAAATGGGTGTTTTCTCCAGAATTCTTTTATATTTTATTTTTAAACAGTAAAAATCTTGACGTTATTGTGGTGATTGTTAACAGATTCATGAAGGTGTTGTTGAGGATGTAGCATGGCATCTAAGGCATGAGTACTTGTTTGGTTCTGTTGGGGATGATCAGTATCTGCATGTGTGGGACCTTCGAACTCCCTCAGTCAGCAAGCCGATGCAATCTGTGGTTGCCCATCAAAGTGAGGTCGGTTACTTAATTATGGTTCTTTTTTTAACTAAAGATTTTATTATTACTAACCCACATTGAATCAAGAATATATAGCTGACCTAGCTATTGCCGGTACTGTTTGGTGTTATTTATTCAATGTCAGATGGTCAAGATATTTCTTGATGAATGTTCACTCTTACATGTCCAGAAGCTAATAAAAATATTGGCTGTGTATGGAGATATTTTGAAATGCTTTCTTTTTTTCTTTCGTTCTTTCTTTTTTTCTTTTTTCATATAATTAGAAGGAGAATACTTCTTTTGGTCGAGGTCGGCTGTTCAGTTGGGTAATGTAGATACAAAGTAGAAGCTTTCTTCATTTCTTTCTTTCTTCCTTCCTTTCATTCTTTCCGCCTTTTTCCCCCCGATTCCTGTAACAGAAGAATTTTGAGTGTATTATGTGATTTATATATTATAGCAATGGATGTTAAGCTGATGAATACCTCTGCTCTTCGAAGTCTATACAGTGGTTTTGCATATAACCTTGCTTTTAGGGGGAGACAATTAATATACGCATAGAACATAATTGTCTTTTCTTCCTGAGGTTATCTTTTATTTTGATGCTTTCACAATTTTTTTTTATTTTTTTTCTCTGTGCGCTTTTTATAGGTGAACTGTTTGGCCTTCAATCCATTCAACGAGTGGGTGATAGCAACAGGATCTACGGACAAGACCGTAAAATTATTTGACATGCGGAAGATTTCTACTGCTCTTCACACCTTTGAGTGTCACAAGTGAGCAATTTATCTTGCCTTTTCAGTTCTATGAGGTTATAACATAATGCTACTGTTTTTCTGATTCAGCATGCAGAATATTAATTCAGAAAAGTGTTCAGCAACTCTTCTGCTAATTTGGACCTGCTTTTAATTTGTTAATAGGGAGGAGGTTTTCCAGGTCGGTTGGAGTCCAAAGAACGAAACCATCTTAGCTTCGTGCTGTCTTGGTCGTAGGCTCATGATCTGGGACCTTAGCAGGTAAATGTGGTCATCCTGTAAATAAAATAAGATCATGAGGCTTTCAAAGGATAATTGTATTATCGACAATTATGCGAGGTGTACGTACAAAAGGTACCCTCGAGGTTTGACCTAATTGGTAGAAACCAAGCTAACCTTCAAAGTCACATGAACTGCCCAGTTCTTAAAATTAAGTGACTAACTGTAATATTTTTCAAAATGTGAATGTATTTTTATGTACTTTTATTCTTTTACCCTTTATAAAAATATGCAGGGTATTACTTAAAATTTTGAAAGTTGGCTGGATCTTGTTGGTATAGATCGAACCTCAAGGGTATTTGTAACTAACCGTTAAATTATTAAATGAGATATTGTGAAGATAAATAAAAGAACAAAGTCCTAGAAAGAAAGTTATAAGCTTTCTCAAAAGAAAATTTACCAAGCAGTTTTATAAATGTTTCAAGTGTCTTGTCTGCTCGAATAAGTCACCTTTTTATATTGCACGAGCATCTAAATTCTGTGCTCTCTCATTTATAACCGCTCCTTTTGTGCTTAATGGTTCATTTGTCGACATGAAAAGAAATGCCTTCTTCTTTTCACCGCAATTTTCATAATTTACTTCATAGGATTGATGAAGAACAAACACAAGAGGATGCTGAGGATGGACCGCCTGAGTTGTTATTTATTCATGGTGGTCATACAAGTAAAGTTTCGGATTTTTCATGGAACCCTTGTGAAGATTGGGTTATTGCCAGCGTGGCCGAGGATAATATACTCCAAATATGGCAGATGGCCGAGAATATCTACCATGATGAAGATGATCTACCTGGAAAAGATACAACAAACAAAGGTTCTTAGGTTTCGGGTTCTCATATGAGCCAAAAGAGTTTTTTAAGGTAGATGATCAAGGATTTAGGTTGATTTTGCTCTTGAATTTTATTTTATTTTTATTTATGTGAATGTATTATTATTATTATTATTATTAAGTCTTTTATTTAAGTTTCTAATTTACCATTTGAATCCCATTTTGCATGTACTTGGCTTATCTAATCTAAGTTGGTCGAGTTTAGTTATGTAGTCAGAGTCGTTATAATTTTGAACAAAATTTGATATTTATGTTATGAAATATTATTTTTATTTATTTTAAAATATGTTATTTATTAATATTGTGACGGCATTAAGCTAACATTTAACCTCAAAGTACTTTGAACTTATATAAGAATGTTTTTATATTCACAAATCCATTTATCAATTGTTTTTATATATGAAGAACAAGTCAATCCATAATACTATTAAACAAAAACAAAATACATAGACTGAAATATCATAACTTTATTTTACTGATTAAAAATTATAACATTTGACTATAATAAAACAATAACAAGAAAGAGAATTAGCAACAAATAAATCCAATTTAACCAGCAAAATTGTCCGGGCAGCACTTCGAAGTTATGAACATTAACAATAATATGATACATTACTTTTACACACACACACACACACACACACACTGATACAACACCTCACGAGAGGCCATCTCACAGGAACTCAGAAAAAGAATGGAACAAAATGAATCTGTCTACTGTGTATTAGAAGAATCCCCATTAATCATCAATGACCCTCTCTCTCTTTTTTTTTTTTTCTTTCCAATTTCACGATATTATACCGTCAATGTTGCCATCACTCTCTCTTGCCTTCCTCTGATTCTTCTGAATCAGACGTGTTGCCGTTGTTTCGATCATCTTGGCCTTGCTTGACTAAACTAATACTACCTTTGGAAGTTTCTCTGCACAACGATTCAGTTTCTTCGTCATCTGTCTCATCTCCCTTATTGTCCATGTACGCATACCTGGCAGGATTTATAATACCAAAAACCAAATTTCTTAATAGAACTAAGCATATACAGACTTTTAGCTCTGGTCAGTGATTGCATAAGGTCAAAAGCTGACGAGTTTCTAGAACTAGAAGAGGTTTTCAATATCCTCAACTCCAGTTATTTTTCAAAGGTATTTATTCATCAAATGTCACAAATATTTTAGTTACCTTAAGGTGTCGAGGGTTTTTTGGCAATT